TCTACTACCTGTATCTATTCACCTATTTATCTCTATCATCAGTCTACCATCTATCAACTTATCATATCCATCTGTCTTCTATTTAGCAAATCAAATCTGTCAGACCTATCCCTGTCGGCTATCACCTATCTATCATGCATCTATTTCTTTTTAAATTTAAATGGTTTCCTCTGGCATTCAGTTTCCCTTTTCTTTGCTCATCCAAAGAATTTTTGCTGGGGGGGTGGGCAGCCCTGAGGCTTAGCAGGTAAAAGCCTCTGCCTGCAGTGCCGGCATCCCATATGGGCGCTGGTTCAAGTTCCAGCTGCTTCACTTCCAGTCCAGCTCCCTGCTAGTGGTCTGGGAAAGCAGTAGAAGACGACCCAAGTCCTTGGGTGCCTGTACCCACGCAGGAGCCCCGCAAGAAGCTCCTGACTTCTAGCTTTGGATCCGCCCAGTTCCAGCTGTTGTGGCCATTTGGGGAGTGAACCAGCAGATGGAAGATCTCTCTGTCTCTCTCTCTGCCTTTCTGAAACTCTACTTTCCAAATAAATAAATAAATACATCTTTTAAAACAATTTACATGGCAAGGTTCATGCTCCTGTGATGTTCTGTGGGCCAGGGCAGGGGACTGTAACAGGATTTTCACTCACGGTTAAACAATTCACTGAATATAGGCAGACGAACATACTTGCAGATACCGTTTTTCTCATTTGTCGGTCACTTTCCAACGTAGGACGTAGGCAGGGTTGTGGGACATGGGAGCTAAGGATTCCAGTCCAACAACCTCCTTTGAAGGAAGGAGAAGTTATAGCCCAGGTAATCCAATTCAACACTCACTGAGCACCTGTGGTGATGGTGCAAAGAAACTCAATGCAGTGCTGGGACCAATGCAAGTGGTACTACTTTAGGGCCTCTGGGGGAAGCCTCTGAAAGCCGGCTGTTGAGCGAAGGCTGGAAGGAAGCGAGGAAGCGTCCTGTAACATTCGGGGGAGAGGGAAGAATGAGTGCAAAGGCCCTGAGGTTGGAGGATGCCTGGCACACCGGGGAGATGTGAGGGACCCATGTGGCTGGGACCCGGCATGTAGAGCAGTGGTGGGACAGGAGGGGCCACAGAGAGGGCTCAGGGCAGAGCCTGGAGGGCCCAGAGGGTCCCTGTGGGCATGAACTGACTCACAGCTCAATTGTGGTCACTGCATGCAGGTTAGTTTGGGGCTGGAAGGCTAGGGCACAAGCTAGGAGATGAGTTAGGAAGTTCCTGCCTTAATCCAGACCAAAGGTGCTTCCGGCTGGGGCCAGGGTGAGAGAACAGAGGTGGATGAAAGGGGAGCAGAGTCTAGACACACTTGGAAGGCAATGTTTTGCTCAAAGGGCTAATTACCCAGGTCAAGTGCAATCGGGAAGGGAAGCTGCTGGGGTTAAGCCTCAGGTCTGCTGACTGGCCAATGCCAATGCCCGGGATTTGCATACGTTATTTCTAAGTGTGGCCACACCTGGGAGGGTGTTAGCTCCCCCTACAGATGGACAAACTGATGTTGAAAAGGGCAAGGAGGCCATCCAGTGTCACGCAGCTGGGAAGCGGCTGTCTCGGGACCTCAGCAGTCAGAGTGCAAGGACTCCTGTGCTCAGGCCCGGGATCTCACTGTCGATCCCTCCTCCCAACACGGTGAGACTGGCTGTGGTGCACCCCCAAACTCCTGCCCTAAAATGTACCCCGTGTGGCTCTGCCACTGGTGTGAAATCCCCCTCGCTGGAGAGGGTGCTGCCAGGTGAGACGCTGAAGACCTTGTCAGCTACACAAAGTGAGCGAGTCCTTAAGTCAGAGTGAAGCTTACAGGTGGGCAGCGCTGAGCAGGTGCAGGGAGGTGCCAAGAGGGGGGAAGAGACGACCGAAGCCACCCGTTTACCTCAGAGCTCACCAAATGATGCGACAGGAGGAAGCAAGCCGATGCCGCCAAGACGAGGTGACATTACATGGCAGCGACACACGGGGGCGCCCTCACCACCCAGCAGAGTTCCTGCAGCACCGGCTACAAGGTGATCAGTGTTAAGTGTCAGTTTTATTCTCTTCAAGCAATTTTTAAAAATCTCTTGTCTGGGTGGTGTAATTTTTATCTCTCCTGTCTCAGTGTTAGTTCCAGTCAGTATGCACACAACCCCACACTGACCCAGGGTCCCATCCTGGGGTCAGATACTCCCTGTCACACCCTGCTGGCCGCACAGGAGGGCATGGCAGAAAAGCAGGACTTCAGGCATCTGACACCGCATCTTAAGTGGTCGCTGAAACCCGGCCTTGGCTGGAGCCGTGTTGAGGTGCAACCACTCTTACCACCAGAAGCCACTCCCAGCTACACTAACCAATGTCACTTTGACGTCACCAGTTTCCTTGGTTTTTGTCCCTGTCCCGTCCCTGTGGTCCCCATGCAAGGAGCGGGCCTTTTCTTTGGAGGTGTGACTGGGGCCAGGAACCTGCTCCGGTGTCTGCTGTCGGGCCAGTCGTGAGTCCCACAGGGTCACAGTTCCTCCTCTTGCTTCTAAAACAAAATGTTTAAAAAGATTTATTTATTTATTTGAGAGTCAGAGTTAAACAGAGAGAGGAGAGGCATATAGAGAGAGAGAGAGAGGTCTTCCATCCGATGGTTCACTCTCCAATTGGTTGCAACGACTGGAGCTGAACCAATCTGAAGCCAGGAGCCAGGAGCCTCCTCCCAGTCTACCACACGGGTGCAGGAGCCCAAGGACTTGGGCCATTCTCTACTGCCTTCCCAGGCCATAGTAGAGAGCTGGATTGGAAGTGGAGCAGCAAGGTCTCGAACTGGCACCCATATAGGATGCTGGCGCTTCAGGCCAGGGCGTTAACCCTCTGCGCCACAGTTCCGGCCCCCTCTAAAAATTTTTTAAGGATTCATTTATTTATTTGAAAGGTAGAGTTACACAGAGAGAGGACGACACACACACACACACACACACACACACATGAAGACAGAGAGAGAGAGAGAGAGAGAGAGAGAGAGAATCTTCCATCCGCTGGTTCACCCTCCAGATAGCTGCAATGGGCAGAGCTGGGCCAGCCCAAAACCAGGAGCCAGGAGCTTCATCTGGGTCTCCCACATGAGTGCAGGGGTCCAGGCACTTGGACAATCTTTTGTTGCTTTCCCAGGCACATTAGCAGGGAGCTGGATCAGAAGTGGAGCAGCCGGGACACGAACCAGTGCCCCTGTGAGATGCTGGTGTTGCAGGTAACTGCTCAACCCACTATGCCACAATGCTGGCCCCAACTTCTCTTCTTTCATAAGGGATTTTTGTTGTTGTTGTTGTTTGCACTAAAATTAGTTCATCTTTTAATTCCATTTTCTACAAACCTTTCGGGATACGCTTGTATGTTTACATATAGTGGGAGGCGCCAAATTCTCATCTCCCATAGAGGTGACTCAGTGAGGTGACAATAACAGTGGGGAGATGCACTAGGAATACAAGCCTGCTGTTTGGAGTGATGCAGATAAACAGAACGCTGGTATCAATGGCTCGGAACCCAAACCCTGGGCTCTGAGAGTTACCCACTGACTTCCTCCTGCTTCGGACCCAAGGTCTTGCTTCCCCTGCTGGTCTTGCCAGCATGCTCCCTCCAAGACGCCCCCAGTCACTGGCTGGTCCTAGTTCTGCCTCCCACAGCTCTGCACCCTGCTTCCAAACTCTCACCCTCCCCGTTCAGGAGGAGCCAAGTGTCCTGGGCAAGGCGGAGGGCCTTACCCTGTGTTCCCAGGTGTTCTCAGCTCCCCATTGCCAGCAGGTAGCCAGCCCCCAGGCTTGTTCTTTCTGAAGGCAATTTTGCAAAACAGGCTTGATGTGCATTTAAGAAAAGCCAAGCTCAGGCAAGAACTTGTGCTGATGTCCTGCAGGGGGCGCCTTTGAAAGCCACAGAAAAGAAGGCCCCCTTTCTGGGGCCAACCCTCCTCCTCCGGGCACTGCGGGCTGGAAGTGGGGAGATCACAGCAAGCCTACGACAAAACGCCGGCCTCCTGGTACCTCTGGGCCACCTGAAACAGACCTCGGCTTCCTGCCTTGCCAGGGACTTCTGCCCTCGGCTGTTACACTGCAAATGCAGATCCCTGTGGCCTGTGCGCTTGGAACTGGGCTGCCTCGGTGGGAGTTTAAGTGGTGGACAATGAGAATGAGCTACAGGACAGGAAGGGAGGAAGCTCTCAGAAGATTCCATGTCGTGTAGGACCCCAGGACCCCAGGACACCTTAGCATGGTCCTGGTGAAGGTGCGAGGGTCCCGAGGTTAAAATAAAATTGGTTTAGGAGCAAGACTCTAAGCCAGGGGAGCATGTGTCCTCGGTGGGTTCCAGAGTCCAGTGCTCCTGCAGCCTAGGTGTTGGGTGGGGCCCTCAGCATGGGGCCTTTGTACCTGCAGACATGAGACAGTGCCGGAAGTGCTGAGTCACTGGCAAGGGGGAAACTGAGGCCCCAGACTGTGCCTTTCCCTCCAACTTTTATTTATTTATTTTATTTGAGAGGCAAAGAGACAGAGAGAGACAGAACCCATCTTTTGATTCTCCAAATGCCTGTAGCAGCTAGGACTGGGCCAGGGGGAAGGCAGGAGCCAGGAACTCATTCTGGGACTCCCACAGGGGAGGCAGGAACTCAAGCACTTCCGGCACCACTGCTGCCTTCCAGGGTGTGCCCTGGCAGGAAGTTGGAACCAGGAGCCGAGCCAGGACTTGAGCCAGGCACTTCAGTATAGGCTGTGGGCAGCCCCACCGGCATGTGAACCACTTCATGCACTGCCCGTTCCAACACAGTGCCTTCGATACAATGCTGGGTACTCCCAGCCGCACCCCCGCCCCATCCCACATCTCCTGCTCTTAGCTCCAACCTTCTTTACAAACCCCCTGCTTACCAAAACCAACTCCCTAAATGGAGGAGTGGTCGTTTATCTCCTCCACAGATATCATCTTGATATTCAGTCTTGTCTAGAGTGTTTTCCCCAGGAATCCCAGGCCCTAAGCAAAAACTCACGATCATCAATTTACCATCTTCAGGGTTCCCCAAAGCTCTGGGGGCTGGCGTTGTGGTGCAATGGGTTAAGCCCTTATTGGAGTGCTGGTTGGAGTACCTGTTGCTCTGCTTCTGATCCAGCTTCCTGCTACTGGGCCTGGGGAGGTGGCAGATGATGGCCCAAGTACTTGGGGCGCTGTCGCCCATGAGGGAGACCTGGATGGTGCTCCCAGCTCCTGGCGTTGACCTAGCCCAGCCCTGGCTGTTGTGACCATTTGGGAAGTTCTCTCTCCCTCTCTCTTGCCACCCTGCCTTTCAAACAAGCAAGTCTGCTTTGTTTTTAAAGATTCCCAAAGGTGCTCTGTGCTTTGCCACAAATGCCCAGTGTCAGTGCACACTGGGCGAGCGGATCCAAGCGTTGGAGGCTGCGTAACAGGATAAAAGGGATGACCACAAATGGTTTGGGCTAATTAAGACTCAACTTTTGAGGCTGGAAGGCCACTCACTCTCTGACCATGATCAGGAGGTGGACAGAGAAGGCTGAGGGTGGGAAGACCCCCAGTGTGTGCCTCCCACCTGTCCCAAGTGAGACACAGCTGCTGTTAACCCGCAAATAATGCAGGGTTGAAAGCACTTGTTCTGGGGCTGGCGTTGTGGCGAAGTAAGCAAAGCCTCCCCCTGAAGTGCCGGCATCCCATATGGGTGCTGGTTCGAGTCCTGGCTGCTCTTCTTCCAGTCCAGCTCTCTGCTGTGGCCTGGGAAAGCAGTAGAAGATGCCCCAAGTGCTTGGGCCCCTGCACCCATGTGGGAGCCCCAGAAGAAGCTCCTGGATCCTGGCTTTGGATCAGCCCAGCTCCAGCCGCTGTGGTCATTTGGGGAGTAAACCAGCAGATGGAAGATCTCTCTCTCTCTCTCCCTCTCTCTCCTCCCTCCCTTTTTCCGTAACTCTGCCTCTCAAATAAATAAATCTTTTTGAAGAAAGGGGGAGCCCACTCTCCTGATGGTAAATGGAGCTCCAGGAGGAGAGAGGAGCTCAGCTGGCTCTCAGCCTGGGGTGCACGCATGCAGGCCTCTGTGGGGCAGTGTGGCAGAAGCTAACAGAATCTGTTTAGGGGCACAGGAGAGTGTGGGAAAACATTCCATTCGGAAGCCAGGCATAGCCCCTAGGAGAGGCCCAGCCAAGACCAGTCTGACTCAACAAGAATCTGTCCACCCTCAGAGAGGAGTGAGCGGAGGTCCAGAGTGGCTGCCATCACACGGACTCCCTCACCCGGCGCCCTCCTGGCTTCAGCGGCCGAGCGCACCCCACCTTCGGGTTCCAGTGGAAGAAGTGGCTTCCCCACAGGCTTGGGCTTTGGGCCATGCAGCAAAGCCTAGCGCTTTTCCTGGCACTACATGGCAGAAGGTGGCGCCATGGTGGCACCTCACGGGGAGCCTGCTTACCAGCACGGTGGGGTCCGGGAGCCACAGCCATGGTTCCCAGTGGAGGCACCCAGGGGAGGCGGTAGAGCCGGGTGGGATCTGACCACGGACCTCATGGGGGCACAGAGGGAGCTTAGATGCCTTCACCCAGAGTCCACAGGGGACAGTAGCCCAGCCTCCCCTGCACCTATCTGAGCCTTAGAGACAGGCGGCCAGGCTGGGCAGGGGCAGGATAAGAAAACGCTGGTTCTAAGGCCCCAGGCCCCAGGCAGGGCTTGACCCAGGAGGTGCAGCATCTGCCCCCTCCAAGGCCAAGTGGCTTTTGACAATGGTGAAAGCCCATAGGAAAGTCAGACACACAGAGAAGAGATTGGGAGTGCCACCGCGGAGGGGGCTGGCGGAGCACCCGAGGACAGCCACGTGTAAACCCGGAAAACTGTAAAGAGAGCAGTGAACCCCCTCCTCTCAGCACTGGTCCTCTAGCCACAGAAATGTGATGCAGGGAGGTCGGACCCAGAGGGGCACAGAACAGTCCTCCTCCTATGGGTGATGCTAGCGAGTCCCCCTGGCCTAACGGGGCTTTGGCCAGCCTCCAGCCCCAGCCCCACCTGCTCCCTCCCCAGCCTGTGTCCTGGCCAGGCTGACCGACTATGACGCAGGATGGTACGGCTGCCTCCCCTGCAGCCAGGACTCAGGACACCTGAGTAGGGTCCCAGGCTCTGCTGTTCCCCCAAGCTCCAGAGAGCCATTTGTGGACTTTGACTCGGCAGAGAACACGCCCTGAGAACCTTCCCTGCCCCGTCCTTGCCCTCTGGTAAAAAGGAAGCCTCAGCGTGTAGAGAGACGTGAACAGCAGCCGAGCCCCTGCCTGCCTGTCCCTCCTGCTCACCCTACGGACTGACAGACGGACGGACGGGGGTGAGGACGTGGCCTCCCTGGGCGCGCCAGATACTCGCTCCTCCCATCGTTCTCGGTAGGTCCCGGCAGATGAG